ATTCATCATTAACATGTACTGCTTTAGTATATAAGTAACAAAATGCAACGAAGTGGCAAAGACATACTCAAAGATCTATGCAGTTATAATTTGCCGGCAGCTAACCCGATGGATCGTTTACCGCATGATTGTTATATGATCTTGGTAGGTCGTTTAAGATCCCAACACTATATAGACATGTTGATGAAAGTGAAGCAATTACAAGGAACAAAGTCGACGAAACAAGATGAGGCTCATCAAGCTGAATATGCAGTATTGAACTCTGAGCATACTGAGTCAATGCTGGAGCTTATAACGTTAGAAAGAAAGACTGAACAACTAGAAATTCAACGTCAATGCTATTTCGTGTTTGAAGATAATTTTAATTCTTCTCTGGTTCAGATGCTTGAAGCGAAGTCGTCATTGGAGAAACTCACAAAAATTTGTCGTGCATATGAAAGCCGTGAGGGAGTTGATATAGATAAAGTGATGACTGAACATGAAAATCGTGTGAGACTGTCACATTCATACTTTTGCAAGAAAAATGTACCAACTGATGAAGCCAAAGCTTTGGCACTCGCCATTTCCTTCTATACAGGTACGAAAAGTGAAGCATGTAATCGTGGCGCCAGTCTTATTGCTCGGAAAAGTAATGGAGAACTCCTTGACGTAGATGTAGAAAACGAAATGAATGAGGCAGCTATCATCCTTTATTATTTAGTGAAGGGTCTTTCATATATTCCATTTTACTGGGGATATGTTACACGTGCTTGTCAGCTTACACGCGAGGAACTGCAAATCTACGCACCCGGCTGTTTGATCACTTGGATTCAGTTTAGCAGTTCAAAAAAAGGAAAAAAAGTGGCTGATTCAGACGCTTTCAAATATCGAAATACAATTTTTAAAATCTTCTCCTTAACTGGTCGTCCAATCAAAGATTTTTCGAATTACCCGGAAGAAGATGAAGTTTTATTTCTACCTCATTCGACCTTTCTTGTTTGTGGTCACGACCTATATAAAGAAGATGATGGACGATACCATGTAATTTACATGCGACAAGTAGAACTGGGTCTATGCCAGTGGTCGGTATTATGGGTTGATGACAGAATATTTGACGAAAACTGGGAGAATAAGCAACACATGGAATACGCAGCAGTGAAAGCACTTGATGTGAATGTGCATTTTATACCGAAATCGTCCACTGATAGCGCTTTGGCCTTTCTCCGATCTGAATTCGGAAAGCGTTTAAAAAATCAGGATACATTTCGCATTGTTACAGATATGAATCGTGAAAATGAAAAACCCTCGCATAATGCAGGTACACGATTAATAAAAGCAGTACGAAAGATGGGATTCAGAAATAGATGTCTTATCTTCACTAGTGACAAAAAAACGGCAGAACGAATTGTTCAATTGGAATTAAGCTTAGAGGAACAAGAATTGGTTTCAGTGTCTACTGAAACAAAGGATCTACGGAATTTTGTAAATTTTGACTTAACATCCACAAATGCACAGCAGTCTAACGCCGGAAATGCGAAAAAAAGCAACACATTACAAACTTCAACGTATTCCAGTAAGTTGAATAACTCTCTAAACTTCAGGAAGTTTATGACATTCAACAACAAACACTATAAGACTCTGGTCACTTTCATGAAGGGTTTGGGTGTGGGTGTGGATGTGAATATGAGTGTAAAGAATAGCGATATCCACACCTACACCCACACCCACATCCCACAAATTGACAATTCAAACCCTTTCCTTCAAAGAAGCAGTGAAATACTTTCTAAAAAGCTTCAGAGTTAAAAAGTGGCCAGGCTTCTAAACATAAATATCATATCAATAACTTCCTAAAACTAGTTATCAGCTAAATAGGAAAGCACTAATAATCAACTATGGATCAGAACATTGTAAGTCGTCATAACAATGGCGAAATTATATTCATGAAAATGCTTTTTACTACCTTGCATCACAAGAGCCAATGATTGTGTCACGTCTGCTTCCTCAACAGTTTAGAAATGCCTAAAACATCGTTTAAATACTCACATACGCGCCACAAAGACACGTTTAAACATTGCTAAAGTGTCATAAAAAACACATTTAGGCATGAAAATAATCTTATATGAAACAATTAGCCTTCGTTCAAAGGCAAGTTTTTCGTTTTTGAACCGAAAAATAGTTGTTTTAAAGGATCAGTTTGCTTGAAAGTCAAATAACCACATTTAAAAAACGAAAAACACATCATTTAAACTGTGACGTATCACTTCTGCAACGCAAAGTGTGCCATTAAAACGTATTGAAATTGCCACCTATATATTTCCTTCGTTTAAACGGAGTCTTTATCGATTATGGACTGTTTAGGTTTTTTTCTATCAGTTTATTACTACGCAGTCTTCAGGTGCGCTGTCTAATGGATAAAGTTAATCAATTTAACGATCTATAATCACTATATTGATTTCAGTAGCCAAGATGGTGATGTCTTATATCAGAGATTAGTCAAAGAAACCTATCAGTAAAGGTCTTGGAACAAATGAATTGTGCATGGGTAAGCATAGCTGCTAGTTGAAATACTTGAAGAAACGAAATAGAGAAAAACTCGATCTGGCAAGGTTTGATCCTCAAAAAGCACCATTTTTGGACTGCCCTAAGTGTAATGTCGATGAGTATTGTATAGGATTCCTCAGCTATTATAACCAGTCAATACCCAGGCAGACAAACGTTAAAATATAATGCGTTTAAACACGTTTAGATTCCGTAATAACAGCGTTTAAACGAAGTAGTATCGTTTAAACGGCATTATTATGCCATTTTCAAACGCGTTAAAACACGTAACCCATCTGCAGCGTGATAAAACCAGTCATTTTTTCAAAATTTACGCGTTTTTCTGTTGGTGTCGCTATTCTTTTTACGAGTTTAAACGCGTTCACAAGCTTAAATATATTTTGATACGATTCGATGTTAAATACAACTTGACTTCCTTTTTTTTCTTTGAAACTAGGTTACTACTTGCATCTTCTGTACACTATAATTCACTTACTAAACAAGACTAAGCTTTTTTATGTTAGTATGCTTTCTCATAAAAGTTGAAACATAAATAGGCAAATTTCAAGATAGGATGTTTCGTATCTATGCAGTATGCGACTAGGTATTGATATTTGAACTGATGTCCGACTTTATGAGAACCTATTCATAAACTTTAACATGGAAAAAATATTTAAAACATACTTTTATAAGTTTTATTTTCCTCATATATGATAGATTCCATTTCATAGTCTTCATTGATTTTTATTAAATCTAATTCATGGTATAGTGTTTTTTCAAATTTATGTTCGAGTCTTATTTGCTCATAAAGTAGATTCATTAACAGTTTGTTGTATTGTCGTTCTGAAAATCGCATTTAACATGCAAGATTATAAGTCAAAAACATAAATTTAAATAAACCTAATTTGATATAATAAAAAGAATAACATATGAATAGAATAATCCAATGTTTCATTCATAATATAAAATAGATGAGAGTTAAAAAGTTGAAAATAATATTTAAGTGGATTCTAAAAGATTAGGAAATATTTGAAATCCACAAATGGTATTCGTATTTTCGTTGATCCGATATGCAACTTTTTGTTTAATCAAGTCAAAACTTATGGAAATAGTCTCTCGTGGTACAGTAACAGTAGCATCAATAGAAAAGTCATTGATGTATTGTATTCCATCAACCGAAAAAGTATCACAACCATGAATTATTATTTTATCAATAATAAATAACACTTGATCGTTTCTTGTCAATCGAATTATTCCGACGATTACACCGACATAAAGCACGCCTGAATGATCGGAATACATCACAGCAGAATCATCCACTTAACAGGTACCTGAACGATGTACCCTGAATGGTATTCCATTATGGAAATACAAGCAATAATATACGTATTGTTATTCACCATAAGTAGCATTAAGATACGAAAGTATATGAGGAAATAGACCAGGTGTTGCCATATCAAGACGACATTTATTATTCTGAGTTTTGAATGTTGGAACAGCACACTTCTTCGAAGCGAGGAATTGCTGTATCATTAATGCAATTTTCGGATGAAATGTTGATTGCTGAAGGATAGTTGTCGAATAAGCAACAAGCTCAAGATTATTTATTAATTCTGTCAAGATCATCGAAGGCACATGTATAGATTTCACGATGCTTCCTAATTAATGCAAACAATCCTTCAGATACTTTTAAGAGTCCTGTACAAGTTTATAGATAGTCTTTATAATATTTTCTTCAAGTAAATATTCAGTTAACACTTAATCTCTTAGAAAATGCAAAATTTGATTAATAGTGTTAGTTAGAAAGACGTTTACTTATTTATATAGAGCTTGACAACCCATCTAACAGTTGTAACTTAGTATTTTTTAAGACGAATAATGTACTTCGTACTGCCCATCTCTTAAATCTTTTCAAATATTTTAGTAAATGTATAAGTGGATATAAACTAGAGTACTTGTCAATATTTTCTTAGAAAAATCAGTAGTTTTCAAATTATCCCAACGTATTGAAAACACAGAATATGTGTTATTCATGAACACATAAAATTCTCTGCACGCAGTAAACTGTTAGTTGAACAAGAAAAAATTTTCTCCTGATGAGTTTTATAATGCATATTTACCTACGGTACTTTCAAAATTGAATGTGCTATTAATTAAATAGTGGACCGAATTAAAAAACACTTTGCGCAAAATGTGCAAGCGAATGAACTATAGAAACACAGTTGGATTCCTTTGAAAATCAAAAAGAAAAGCAATTAAAACGAAGAAGTAATAAAAAATAATGTCACAAACTCCGTATAATGATGGAAATAATTTAAGGAATCTCTCTAAAAGAAATTTAATTTGTTCTGATCTTTCATTTGTTCTTGTTTGGGTTTCGGCGAATATTGCGGCATATGCTAGAAGCCGAAAGTGCTGATAGTATTGTTTTTTCATAAATTTTTCGAACAACCTGCAAAGACAAACTTGAATAGATTCAATAATTATGCTATAAGCATGGCATAAGTATACCAATAAGCGAATAATAATGTAATGCGAAATTCATTTGCTTTCCAAATTTTGTAAAACCTTAAAATACGTGGAAGACGATTGGTGATCGGGTAGTGGATAGTTTGAAGTGATTTTTCAATATGAACAAACTGATTTTTTAATGAATAATCTGTTTTCACAGTACCAAACCATAAATGTATCATCTTTCTCTAGTAATATATAAACAAATACATATATTTTAAAAATACGGAAGAAGATTGAGACTAGATAAACAGCCGTTTTATTGAAAATCCTTTGTTGCATTACTAATATTAGGCCTGCAATTATTTTTTTGTAGAATCACTGAAACTTTTGTCATTACAAATTTGGAATTATGCATTTTTGTAATTGCAAATTTAAAAGTACAAAATACTCATCATTCTTGACTTCTTTTCATATAAACACTTGTGTACTAATCTAATTGTTACTATCGAACTCTTATGATTTACCTTATGTTTTTAGTTGCACTTTCTATTCTAACTTTAGAACTGTGTAAATGTATAATTAAAAGTAGGCAATAGTAAAGTTACACTGACTTAATTCATGAGTAAGGAATGATTGCTTACATGCATAATAGTTAGATAAGAAGTTTGACCTTTCGATATCAAAACATAAAAGTGTCAACTTTTTCTGTTAAACTTCTCAATTCCACCAAAAAAAAAGAAATGTCACTTACAAATACTCCATAGTGGAGACTATGAAGTGAGTCAAAACAAAAGCTTTGACCCATGTCAAAATATTGTAAGTCACACAAAGCGCAATGACCAAGATGACCACAGGCTTTGTCTTCTAATGGATTTTTTTTCTTCATAGTTCTAATTAGACAGAAGAATAAGAATATTTTTAGAAACTAAACTGAGAAAAAACAGCTCACCTTATTGAAGAAAGGTAAAAGTCTATCATATGATTTATTATCTCGAAGTTTTATCGTAGTATCATTTTTTGAAATGAAGAATCTTGATCCTGATTCAGGAGTAGCACCTATAATAATACAAAAGTGCGAGAGATAAAATGAAGTAGCAGAATGAACTAATATCTATTGAAATAAGAAAATCGCTAAAACCTGGAATATAGCACCATCCACAACTGAAAAATCCAGTTGGATCTTTGATGCTCATTATAAGCGAATGTGCGCTTTTATCACATACAGCTGCAATAGTGAAAGCATAAAAATGTTTATAGGCACTTTTTTGATTTCGATCAGCTGATGGAAAAAGTACATCGAAATCAACATTTTCTAGAAGTTTAAGTTCATTCACAATATCTTGTAATATTATTGCATATTCATTTTTCTTAGGTTTTTCACTGCCAGTAGAAATTGAACATATCAAGAGATTGTTTATTTCATAACGTTTATTTCGAAGTAGTTAATTGATACAGACGCATGTTACCCATAAGGAGCAAGAGATTCGCTTGATCAGAACACCATCATTATGAAGAGTAAGAGTAATTATATTTCGATTTGGATTTTTTTGTTTTTCTGACATGATAATTTCTTGATGACGTCGAGTATTAGATATATCACTACATTCATTAGATCGATAATTGGGAGACATAAGCTTTTCTCGCTCAAGAATGGGGATAATTTGTGATGCTAATGGAAAAGTGAAGACAGATGTTGATTTTCGAATATAAGATGAAGCAGATTGGCAGTTTTTATTTGAGCATTTAGAAACATTTGATCCTTTGGAAAAACATGATGGACAGATAAATGCATGGTCACCATGAAACAATATTGAGTTATATTTCTTCACATTTGACACTACACTACGAAAATCATTAGGCATGTTAGGTGTATTAAACATTTTCAAAATACGACTAATATCATCAATGGCTGCTTTGGATAATGAATGTCTTCTCCAAAGAAAAACCAGCATAACCGAGACTTCAGTGACGTCGGGAGGTTAGTCATTAATTTTCTAGTACTTAGATGAATGGGACCAAAAATTAGTCAGTTTTTCTTTATCGAAAAATCCTTCGGATATGTGCTGATTATTATCCTCAGATATATCAGAATCATTATCAGATCGATAAAACTCATCAGATTTAAGTTTACTTAAATCTTCATCATAGCACATATTCAACGTATTACTGTCTAGCAAGTATCCATAATCACCGACATACGTATATTGATTGGATTCTTGACTAATCCATTGATTTTCATTTGCATTAAAATCATTATTATGTACCGTTGATTCATTCTCAACAGATGAGTTGTTTTGGTGTCGAGTAATAGGAGCATTATCAACTCTATTAAGTTAGAATAATACATATATATATTATAGGTTAATGCAGTCTTAGGAATTAACGTACTCTGAATCACTACAATCATCTAGTGCCATAGCTTCGTTTAAATCACTGTTTATTTTCTCTCGAACTCGACATCGATAACGACTAAATCGAGACTTTTGCTCCATAACCATCTCGGTATCTTCATCATCCTCGCTGGTCATTTTATGAAGACTAGGTATTTGACTGTTCAATCTAATCTTTTTCTGAACTTTAGTTTTTCCTAAAAGAATACTAAAGAAACGCTATCATATCATTTCATATGTTCAATATCTTTTATATATTGGGTTGGTAAGAAATTTTTGTCGTTTTTTTTTTTCGTAAAGAAGATTATGCTGAGCGTTTGGTGGGGAGTAAGAGGGATTATTCATTGGAAACTTCTTCCAACTAATTGCACTATCACTGCTGATCTCTATTGCCAGCAATTAGACCGAATTGCGGCAAAACTTCAGGAGCACAGGATAGAATTTATTTTTTACATGACAATGCCAGACCCCATATTGCAAAATCTACGCGTGAAGAATTATTGGAGCTCGGATGGGTTACGGTTCTACATCCATCTTATTCTCCAGACTTGGCTCCTACGGACTACCATTTGTTCCGTTCTCTCTCTAACCATTTGAAGGAGAAAAATCCGAGGATGAAAACGACCTGGAAATGAACCTCCTCAACTTCTTTGGCCAAAAGTCGCAGGACTTCTACGAACGCGGGATCCTTTCTCTACCAGAGCGTTGGCGACAAGTCATAGATAGTAATGGAGCATACATTGTTGAAAGCTAGTTGTATTCTTGATATTAAAAAATAAAAAGAAAATTTTCAAAAAAAAACGACAAAAATTTCTTACCAACCCAATAAAATATATAGTAATGTTTGCTTAATACATCTTGGTCATATGTTACATGCCGATAAAGACAAAGATAAAACATACAAGATAGAAAAAAGAGAAATACACTATATCGTATTAGGAAGTACAAAAAAACAACATAGAAATAACACCCAGTATGAATGTTTCTTCCTTAAAAAACAATAGTATGCATAGGAATCTATTAAATACATCTTTAGGTAAAAAAATAAAGGCATAATAAAATACAAATAGCTTTTATTAAATTATTACTACAATTTCCATGTTCACTTTTGTCTTCATATTGAAATTGACTAATATTAATCATCTTGTTCTTCATCGTCGGTAATCGAATAATTGTTGCCTTTTTCCAACAGTAACTCTAAGTTATGTTCGACTTCTTCACAATCGCTCAAACCATCGTCATAATCAATTTCATTCGTTGCTTGACTTTCCGCAAGGACATTGTTTTCATCGACTTTTGAGTTGAATTGAGCTAATCTTAAGTTCGCTGCAATATCGCTTCGGACTTTCTTCACACTTAGACCACATTTTGGTAAACATAGACGAGCAAAACCTAAAGAGATAAAACATAAAACAATCATTTCATTTTTTTCTTCAAAGTCAGCAAAAGAAGCTTATTCAAACAGTTCTTTAGTATCTAACAAAAATAAAATATGGTAGCTTACTATAAATATTTTCTATTGTCGATTTTGGTACATTCTTAATTGATCCTACTTCAAGTCGAGCTTCAGCAGTAGGACGAATTGCTCGCCATACATTCATAGCAATTTTATCAGATTTAAAAGCATCTTGTTGAACACGTTGAATCAAATAAGCATTCAAACCAAGTTCTGCGCCAATTTGCTCTATCGTTCGTCCATCACATTTGTATTCGTCACTATGGGTCATCATAAATGCTTTCATTTCATTCCAAAATGCAGGACCCGGCTTCACTGAAAAATAAGTGAATGAACACATACCAAAATAGCTAGAAAAAAAAAGAAAAAAATTGAACCGTCGCACTTGCATATTTTTCATTGACTCTAGAAGACTATTTTGAAACCACGCTACGTAAGATAGGTGATTAGTTTTTTATTCAAGATTAATAGTTAATATAGCAAAAGTCACTTAAAACTTGATGCTCTCCAAATGTCAAGTGTATGACTTTTAAGAACTATATCTACAGAGCTTCATAAATTAATTACGACGTACGATAGAAATTCAAAATGAGAAATTCAGTTAATTGTCAGTTTTGGGATATCTTCTAATTCTGATCAATTCTGTTTTTGAATATTAAAATAACTTATGCATATGAGTTTGAGCCATTTTTTTTCTTCTCTCTGCTCATCTTCTTCAACGCTGCTTTCAAGATATCGACTTGCCTCGATAGTTCACGATTTTTCTTCTCTGATTCTCGATATTCATGTGAATTACGAATATCTGCTGAACGCATGAACACAACCGAGCTTGACGATGGTTGAGTTACATTAGTTTGACCATTTGTGGCAGATAGATTGGTCATAGAACGAGTCGTATCACCACTAAAGTATAAAAATCTATATTAATAAAAGAAAAACAAAAAAAATATATTAAATAATTATATCTATGAACATCTTGACTTGAATTATGGTTTTTACGATTTTCATTCGTAGTTCTGTTTTGACATTATTATACTAGAAAAAAGCACATGCATTATTAAATAGAATCTATATCATTTAATTTTGCCAGACTTACTGTTTTGATAATTGAAGTGATTTCTTTTCAGCAACATTCGTATTCAATGACAATATACTACTGCAAAAATAAGACATAAATAAGACTGTTCGTTAAGTTACAGTAAAAATAAGTATTCATAATGATACGCAAGAAAAAATATAATAATATTTTTCATGTAATAGTACACTGCATTTTTTTTTACAGATCTCTTAAACTTTGATGGTATACTATTAATCGTCTCAATCGCTTTAATTTCTCTCATAGGAACTCAATTAAGAGTCTCGTTTTTCGGTTGTAATCGCGCGATTTATTTATAGAAGTTCTGATCTCATTGTCGAATCAAATAAATTTTTTCAGGATCAGTCGTGAATATTTGAATGAGTTAACTCTTGCATAAAAGCAATAGAGTTTGCTCTAGATTATTTAGAGCAAATAGTTTAAATTACCTTTGATTTGATTCAGAAAGATTTGTCGGATGTCGTGTTAAACAGGCAGATGCTTGAGTTCTACTTCTATACGCAATTCAAAAAGGTACTTTATGCATTATTATTCAGTTTCAAAAACTCCCAGCTCACGTTAAAATTGGTTCATTGCTTTTGTCGATTAATGGTTAGGTAAAGATGTGTCGTTGGGTTGTTGATAGATGTTTATCTTTTTCATTTATTCGTAATGGTGAAGTTTTAGAACGACATTCATTAACAACAGTAATTGGTGTGGCAAGACGAGTTGAATCGTTTGAATTCATTTTCAATGCTGAATTATTTGGACACTTATGAGATTCATTCGAAGAAGGCGATTCACGAGATTGTAACAATGTGCTGTAATTTAATATTTCTTTTTCAGGTACAATGATAGATGAAGTTTCATGAATTTGATTTGACTTATCGTCGTCGTCCATATCAGACGCATCTATTAAACAAAAAAGCAATGAAAATTTAATAAAGTACATGTTTACAATTATTCTAAAATCTGAAATTGGTTTTTTTTTATCGATGCATATTAGCACCCAGTTTTTGTTGATTAAGATAAAATGTTAAGAAACGTTTATTTATTTACAAATAGAAAGTTTATACTAATCAACCTCTTAAAATTTATTCTATAAAATATGAATTAGATTCTTTCTTCTAAATATCTTCATCGCGGGTGTTATTTTTATTTTTTTAATATGTTGCAAATACTGTTCAATAGCTTCAAAAGACCTAAATTTAGCTGAAATAATCTCGTGTCTTATATTTGATTAAAAAGAATTTGTTGATTTCTGATACATTCAAGAACATGATTGGTTCAGACATTCGAAAATGAACCGAACTCAAGGCTTTTGTTTTAAGATGGAGATTTAAGAAAAGTTAAATTTATCGTTAACTAATTAAATCGTTTTAAAGTTAAAAAATTTATCATATAAGACAAGTATTAATGGGTTATTTTTATCAAAACTACAAATGAACACGAAAGTTGTATTGCATGATACGCAATTAATATTAAAATTAACCTGAAACATGTTTTGAAAAACTATGCAAATTACTAATATGTTGTTTTTCTTTATCCATATTTGCTGAAGTATTATCCAAAAAATCATCTTCATTAATTTTCTCGGTTAAACCCGTGTTTTGCACCAAATTCTTCTTTTTTTTTGAATATTGAATTCCATTAATTTGCTTGCGATTCGTACGTTTTCGTTTTGGCATTTTAATATTTTAGAAATTACAAAAGTGACGCAGATAAGTAACACAATATATATGTATAATTGTTGAATCAAATCTAGAACACATAAATATTGTTAAGAAAACGAAGAAGTTTTGAGTTTAAATTATGAAATAGAAAGAATGCGTCTATTCTCATAGAAAACGAACTGTATAATTCATCTCAAGAAAAGCAAATAAGCGTAATCTTTAATCTTATTGTTAAATGACCTTTTATATATTGATCGTTATTAGAAAGAAATCTTTTCTTTTAAAATGTACTCCTGTTTCTGTACGTAAACAATAACTAATAAACAAGTTAGACGTTAAAGTTAAGGACATTTCTTTATATCCTTTATGGCTGGTCATCCTATGACAATATCTTCTTTAATTTTTTTGTATTAGTTAATATTAACAACCAATCATTTGATGTTCACCATTTTTCTCGCGAAACGCTGCCTAGAGTATTACTAGGAAACATGTAAAATAATATTTTTTTCAGACAAAACAGGAGACATTATCAAACAGATAAGTAGGAAAGGCATTTAAGAAAACGTGTTCAAACGCGTTTATTTGCCTGACATCTGAAGAGAGTCCACCACGCACTTCTACAATTCGTATACCCTTTAGACACTTTCACTATATTTTAAAATTCTATTCTAAATATTTTCATAAGCATCTTTACATCAATTTGAGTAGATAACAAGAAGGTAGAGAAAAAATCTATCTTGCAACTAGTATCTACCACATGAACATATTCTATTCTTTTTTTTCTCATTATTTGTCCAATAGATTTCTTTTATTCAAATTCTTTCTTTCTTGTGTTTATTCATTTTTTCATAGTTTTCTTTTATTCAGTAACTCATATTTCTTTCATTCGAGTAGCTTTATGATATTATTTCTGCTAGATGATCTATTACATGCA